TTTGTTGTTAGGAGCACGTGCTCTCACCAGTTGAGCCATCCTGCCACGTGTTGGCAGCTCAGTGGCAGATCAGCTCAGGCGCAGCTCACTGGCCCATGTGGGAATCGAACCAGCGACCCTGTTGCTCAGAGCTTGTGCTCTTAACCAACTGAGCCACTCGGCCGGTCCCTGTGTTTACTTTTATTGCATCTTTTTTTCTCTCTGTGCTTTAGTTTGAACAATTTCTTTTGGTCTGTTTTCAAATGCACTGACCTTTCCTCTGCAGTGTCCTAGCTGCTATTATTCAAATCCAGTGTATTTTTTACCTCAGATACTGTATTTTTTTAGTGTTAGAATTTCCTTTTCTTCTTCTAGAGTTTCCTTATATCTCTTGGCATTCACCCACCATATTCATCTGTTCCTTTATATTTTAACATATTTATATGAGTTATTTTAAACTCCTGTCTGCTAATCCAGTATTTGAGGCAAATAGGGGTTTGTTTCTATTGTTTTTCTCTTGATTATGGTTTGAATTTCCTGCTTCTTTATATGTCTAATATTTTTTATTGTGTAGTGGATATTGTGAATAATAAGTTGTAGAGATTCTTGAATTCTGTTACCTTCCTCTAATGAGTGTTGAGTTTTATTTTAATAGGCAATTAAATTAGGGGCAGCTTATTTTTTTTGGAAGGGTTACTTACCATGTTTAATCTTTAAGATAGGTCTCTTGGTTTTTCCTTTAGTCCTCTGGTGTAACCCTCAAGTCCTGAGATGATGGTCGTTCTCCCAAAGCTGGCCCTTCTGGAGTTCCAGTGGAAAGCCTGGGGTGTTTAACANTTTGCAAATTACCGTGCAAATTTCCACTGCAGACTTTCTTACTGTGTCTCGTCAGAATGTGGATGGAAAATATATTTCCTAATTAATGCTCGTAGCAAAGAAGATTTCAACAAGTGCCCCAGGGAACATGTCTGTCTTCGGGGATTCGCTGGGCCAATGGGAGCGCTTGTGCTGAGGGAGGCATGTAATGTACCGTCATTCTGCACTGTGTGTCTGAGCCCTTGTTGACACTGTGTAATACGACCTTCAGAGAAGATAAATGTGGATGTGGCTATGAAATCTGTGCTCGTTAAGTTCCTCGTGTTTTGTATAAAATGAAGTGCCTGCCACTTTTCATAAGCAGCACAGTTTGCAAGTGCGATGATATTAAAGGGATACATAAGCATTGACAGGTTTGGGATGATGTAATCACAGCGGAGTGCAGCCCAGCCTCCTCGGAGGGGCATCGGGCAGAACAGAAGGCTCATGCAGCACAGCCAAGGGAGGGGGGAGGATTGTAGGGGTCATGGACTGGCAGGAGAGTCCCCAAAGTTAAGCCTGCTGCTCCTGTTGTCGTGACATCCTCTTTACATCCCTGTGGCGTAGTTACTAGTAAGAATAATTGACTCCGTACCTCATAAGAGGAAAAGAGGTACAGAGAATGACTGCTTTGACTAAGAGTCCAAGGCAAGCTGGAAGAGCCATGTGGTCTCCTTTAGAACCCACCTCTTTGAGGATCAGCCTTTCCTGAAGCTCCGGGAACACTAATTTACACAGATGTTAATAGGAATTACAAGCACAGAGAAGCTTGGGAAACAGTGGATGACATGAAATTCTTCCTGTTTCTTCAGTGCAGGACTTCTCAGAGCCTTTACTATGCCAGTATACTTGATGGCTCTACAGTAGAGGCTAGAATGTGCACCCTGTGTAGGTCACCTCATGGGACTGCGTTTCACATAACCAAACTGAGAAACATTGTTAGAGGGTCTCCTATGGGGCNGGGCTGTGGAGTCAGCCAAGTTCACTTCATTAGTTATCTTTCCCCTTTAAAGGTTCTCAAGTTTCTGGGACACCCTCCAATCTGCCATCTCAAGGGAGCCATCTCTGATTAGGAGGGACAAGAAATTGACGTCCCAGCCCACTAACTTTTCTGCCTGCCAGATGTAAAATGTGAGATGGAGGAGGTACTGAGACCTGAGCGCCAGAGCGCAAATGCTTCTATGGACCAGATGAAAGTCAGAGTAAATGCCAAGAATTTAAGGTGAACCATAAATCCCCCAAGATTACGGTGTTCGGGGCAACATGACTGCAGACAGCAGAGGGAGAATAATCTGAGCGGTGTTACACGCACAGCTGTCCAGCGGCCAAGGGAAGGGTGCGCCATTGGGACTCCCCAGATGTGAATGTGAACACAGGTGTGCTGTCCTGCCTAAGGGCCTGCATGGATCACGGGATGGGGCGCAAGGTGGCTTTCCTTATCGCTGTAGCTGTGTTTTGCCGTCCAGTGACTAAGAGTGGAGAAAGGAGCTTTGATAATCCTATGCTAATTTTTTTTTAAAGGCCTATTTTAGTTGAAACAAAATGATCTTAACAGAACACCAGTGCCTCACACTCACAGGACCCTAGGGAAACGCAAACTCCAGGAGGCGCTGAGACACGGGCCATGGGAAGTGGCAGCCCCACTGGGGCTGTATGGCTGGCACAGCCGCCCAAGACCTCAAGGATAGCAAGGGCAAAGGCGAGGGCAGCACTGAGGGCTTCACCTTGGAGCCCATGCGGTGCTCCAGGGTCCAGCGCAGTCATGATGGAGATCATGCTGATGAGGGAAGGGCAGGGGAGCCACACTGAAAGGACACATTTTTGTCACCTCAGAATGGGACCATATGCCTTGAGAAGCAGGAATTGTGCTGTGTTTAGTATTCCTGGAACAGTACTTGGTGTTTTCTGAATGAACACTGTACAAGGTTCTTGTGAGTAATCAACACTTTAGGGCTTTATATTATCATTGAAAAGGAAGTGGGGCCACTTCCCTGCACAAAAAGCCAGGTGTAGTAATCACGTTTTAAAAAATACGTGAAGGGCTGAAATAGAGGAGGTAAGCATCTTAATTGCTAATAACCTTCAGCTGAGAACAGGCATCAACCAACTGTGGCTTCGATAAATCTGTGCTAAATTCAAACCTTAAAAAAAAAGCGTATTATTCTGGCTGAAGTGATCTCAAGTCAGCGGACCACGGCCACGTGCCTCACACACAGCAGGACCCAGGAGGCTGAGACAGAGGCTCTGGGAAGATAAGTGGCAAACCCTAGGTGCGCCCCACCAACAGCAGCTGTTGATCAGGAACCAGCACCCCAGCAAACTGGCAGGGGGTACCAAGGCTCCGGGACCCTTGGGAAAGGGGCCTGAAAAAAGACAGCCAGGGCCTAGGCCCCTCAGCCTGTGTGCGTGCGCCATGTCCCGTGGCGGCGCCATGCCAGAAGCGGGCGGTGTTCACTAGTGGGGCGCCCAGGGCTTCCTCATCACAGCTGCCCCTCTGTGGCCTGCACCTCTCCCTTAGCAAGGAATAATCGTTCACCCGAGGTGGCAGCTGCCCTGAAAGCACGTCTCGGTGCCCATACACACGCAGCGGCTCAGACACCATGGTCTCACGAAGGTGTTTCAAGCCACCACGGTCTCATCTATGACACAGTCGTGCCTAGTCTTCCAGTCCTCATGACCTGACAGCCCTCTTTCCACTCTGGCCACACTTGCCTCTCCTCTCATGAAGAAATGGGCCTACTCTGGCTAAATGGCTTCAGGGCCACATGAGGATACCACCAGAGTAAGGAACACATTTGACCTCCCGTCAAAACCCCTTCCCAGCTCCCAAGGACTAGTCACCATGACCTTACTCTGGCCCAAACCCACAAGGATGAAATGCCTAGCACCGGAGTAGGAAGCAGGATAAGAGGGCCCAGGAGGGACTCTGTCACCTGCCTGCTTACTTCACCGTTAGGAAAACAGGGCCTGTGGCCCGAAGGACTTAAGACTAAAACATACAACAGGCACAGCCGGGCCAGATCCCTTCTGAGGTTGCTCCCAGGAGCCCCGTGTGCCTTTGAGGGCATGTTAAGCATGCGGATTCCTGAGGCCACGCCAGACCTGCTGTCAAACTGAATGTTTAGGAGCAGCGTCTTCAGATCAGCTGTTTCACAAGCATCACAGAGAATTCTGATGCACACTAATATCTGAGAACCACTGTCTGAGAGATACAACTTTCCTTTTTCAGATGATCATCTTTAAGCCGTGAATAAAATTCAACCCCGCTCCCCTTCTTCAGTCACTTTTTTGGTGTATTGTTTCCCCTAATAAAGTAAAACACTTTAACCCGAAAGAACAGCAACAAAAAAAGCTGAGAGAACCCATGCCTCGTAACAGAAGTATCAAGCCCTTGATTTCCACTCACATGAGGACCTACTATGATTATGTGAACCTGTCATGTTCATCACATTCCTTTTTGACTTCTGGATCGCTGTTCTTACCCACGTCCTTAAATTACTACTTGGCGAGAAAGGAAAGGGCAAGAACTGAGTCCAAAGGACGGTAGGAACACTAGTAGCAACGAGGCTTTCGAATAAGAAGTCTGCCAGGGTGAAGGTCTAAAGTCTTCTCTGTTTCAGCTTGCATTTACTTCATACACCAGCAGCAAGGTGTATGAGGCAGGGTTTGGGTGCAGGGGCAGGAGGGGAGCTGGCGTTCTCTCACTCAGAGCTGGAGTGGGCGACAGCAGGCAGAGAGGCTGCGCTGTAGTGTACATGGGGACCGCGCTCACTGGAACACTGTCAGCTCCACGCTTTTATTCTTCGACTGCCCCTGATCTGCCAAGGCCAGGGTAGGTGCCCCGGCTTTGCGCCTCTCCACAATGTTCTGGCATTAATTTCTCACTCACCCACAGCCACTCTTGTCTCCTTTTAGGCTTTCACTGGGCTTATCCCTGAGTATGAGGCAGGGATGGAAGAGTTTGTTCCTGTGCACACTGTAATCTTTCGGCCCTGGAAGCTTAAGAGTTGGGCCTGAATCCTGACACACTCCCATTTGCGCTCACTACACCATTCTGGTGCTTTAAGCCACATACAGGAGGTTGTGTTATTTACCAAGAAATGTATTAACAATTTATGAAAGCCATAAAAAAGCCATACATTTAAGAAGACAGCGAAGACTATTACTTTGAAAAGGCTGACTTTTTTTTTTAACCATCAGTGAATATGCACTTGAAAGTCTACAGAGAACTTTTTTTTCTTTTTGTATTTGTTCCACAGCATTCTAGCTAAGAGTACAAAACAGGTGATCAAACAGTACACGAAGATAGCTCAGGAGCCCTCAGCCGCCCAGAAAAACACAACAGCTTCTAAATCTCCATATACTCCCCAGTCAGGGGAACCACTAGGACACACTAACTAACCTTTGGCATTTGGGGACTTAGCACTTACAATCCTATCATCTGGGAATGACTCCAGGGCTCATGACGTGTTTTTGAAACTTCAGTGCTATGAGGCCGGAGTGTGGACAAGTCACTGAGCTGATGAAGAACCGATGCACTGTCAGCACAGCCTTGCTGTTTTTGACCTGTCTTCGCATGTTGTTGTGAGACATACCGTAATTGTACCTTCAAATCTGAGAAGTCATAAAGGACTAGATGATAGACTGTCCATGAACCTCAAGGGCAATTGGAAATCAACTGGTTCCATACACAGACAGGTTTGTTCCCAGGAAAAGGGGACCAAAGCACAAGATAAGAAAGCTTTTCAGATGTTAACCATGTTCTCTTGATAATATCTTCTCTATGTGGAGTCCATCTGTTAGGGTCACGAAGACCTTGACCCTACATCAAGCATACACTGAAGGGACGTCCCACACACTTTAACAAAGGGAAGGCACAAGAATCAAATAAAAGCAACGAGTTTGAAAGAAACAAGGGGAACCGAACTTAAAAAAAAAAATTCCAAGCTCAATTTAACAATAATTTGTTTCCAGAACAAAGAAATGTTTCTAGCTACAACCTTTTCCAAAACTATCAGTCACCACATATGCATTCACGTCTTGTGCTTTGGATCTGCCCCTCAGGCAATTTTAGCCAGCCATTTCTCCAAGTCCTGGATGTCCGCAGAACTAGTGTCCCCTCGCCCACCCTTGGCACTACACTCCAGGAACTCCACTTTGAGGGGTAACTGTGAGAATTCAAATTCTTTGCCTTTCTTTCCCAGCTGAGCAGGGGCAGAGCTGGAACTGTCCAGTGTGCTGGGGGCAGCAGATCGGGTGACTCGTAAAGTGTTGCTGTGGGGCAAAAGGAAAATGAGTCAGGAAGCAAAGAGTTATTTTGAAAATCACAATTAAAGGCCTTCAGGATATCAAATTACTTCCTAAATATTTCAGCACTCATTTAAATACTTAATCATAAAACTATCAATTATGCTGTAATGACTGTTGAATAATGCTTTACATTTATAGATCATGCTCTTGGACAGAAGAGAGAAATGGGGGGCCAACTTTACAAGGCTAGATGACAGCAGGTCAGTATGGGCCCAGGTCACACCAACCTTCTTTCAGCCTTGTGCCCCCTTCCATTAGGATCTCCTGCATGATGCCAGTTTTAAATATATATTTTTAAATACATGCTATAAATGTTATAAAAACTTAAGTTTCTGAAAGTTAAGTGTAGGTAGATAGGGTATTTATATTTATCTTGAGTCTATTTGGATATAGACCTTAGAAATTCACAAACTCTAGATTCTCATATCCAATCTAGGCACAATTACTATTCTCCAACCTTTTAAACCACTAAAACCATCTCAATTTAAATCACCCTACTGCCACCTGCTGGCCCTAATAAAGAGTGCAATAACAACGCTCATAGGTCTGCTCCCACCCTTTCACTATCCAGACGCAGAATACATACAACATGCTGCCAACCTGCTTTCTTACAAAATAAAGCGTTTCTTGGTGCTGTAACATTGCATGAAAATTAGCAAAGAATCCACAGGAAAAACTAAACAATACCTTGTTTACAAAGACACACACACTGATGGAAAAAGTATTTTAAAAAATAAATAATACAAAATCTATTATTTACCTCTTGAGGGAAAGAGGAAAAAGCTTTTGGGAAGGAACACCTAAGGAAGGTGGTGGGTTCATGGGTATTTGTTTTAGTATTCTTCAAACTCAATATATTATGTGTGATATATATTTATTTATATATATTTTATAATAAAAAAAAGCGGGAGCGGGGGGCAAACATTACATGTATTCAGCTTTTGCCGTAAGGCCATGTAAATGTAGTAAACCTTGTTATTCAGAAGACTATGAAATGCTTCAAAACTGATAGGGCCTAAGTCTCACTAACACAGGATTAAACCAAAATTAGACTCCTAATTTAATTGGTACTTTTACAACTCGTTAGCATTTTATTTCACTGCCTTACTGTGCTACAGAACCCAGCACCGGGCCAGCCCGTGTCCCCCAGGCCCCTCCTTTGGACCCAGGTGCCTGGCCAGACAGGACAGATTCAGGCTATAGGCCGACCCAAGTGGACACTGGTGCCAGGCCAACTTCCATGAATCCAGGCAGTAGGCCCACCAGCCCAGCCTACCCAAGGACTCCAGCAGCATGTAAACCAGAATCTCTGGCCAGAGTGAGTAGAGAAGGGCTTTCTCTGACAAAGCCAGTCTGTGAAAACTAGCAGAAGCACTTACTTTTTCAAATGTGCAGACACCAATGCAAGGACACAAAGATCATGCCTAATCAGGGAAATATGGCACTACCAAAGGAACAAAATAAAGTACCAATAACCAACCCTGAAGAAATGGAGGTCTACAAACTGCCTAACAAAGAATTCAAAATAATTGTCTGAAAGTTCAGTGAGCTATAAAAGAACACAGACAGACAACTCAACAAAATAAGGGAAACAATGTATGAACAAAATGAGAAGTTCAACAGAAAGACAGAAATCATAAAAAACTCTGGAGCTGAAGAACACAATAACTAATGTGAAAAATTCAGAACTTCAACAGCAGACTGATCAAGCAGAAGAACAAATCAGAGGGCTTGAAGACAGATAAACTGAAATTACCCACAGAGATCAAAAAGAAAAAAAGTGAAGAAAGCGTATATAACTTATGGTACATCATTAAGGAGCAGAGAAAGACAAAGAAGCCAAGACCTTATTTAAAGAAATGATGACAGAAAAGTCCCAAATCTGGAGAGGGCAATGCACATGCAGAACCCCTGAGCCCAAAGAACTCCAGATAGATTAAAGAGAGCTTCAGAGACACACTGTAATAAAACTGATAGACGTTAAAGACAAAGAGAATTTTGAAATCAGCAAGACAAAAAAGCCAATTGTCACAAAGAAGGGAAACCCCATCAGACTAAAAGCAAATTTCTTATCAGACCCTTGCAGGCCAGTAAAGAGCGGTATGATATATTCAGTGCTGAAAGAAAAAAACCTGCCAACCAAGAATACTATACCCAGCAAAGCTGACTTACAGATATGAAGGAGAAATTAAAAACTTTCCCAGACACACAAGAACTAAGGGAGTTCATCACCACACCTGCCTTAAAAGAAATTCTAAAGGGAGTTCTTCAAGGTGAAATGAAAGGATGCTAATTAACATTAAAACATATGAAAGTATAAAACTCTGTAACAGTAAGAATATGCTCAAATTCAGAATACTCTAGTACTGTAATGGTGATGTGTACATCACTTTTAACTCTAGCATAAAAGCTTAAGACAAAAGTATTAAAAATAACTATGGTGAAAAAGTCAAACAGAACTACCACCATATGACCCAGGAATTCCACTTCTGGGTATTTATCCAAAGGAATGAAATCAGGATCCTCACAAGGTACCTGCACTCCCATGTTCACTGCAGCATTATTCACAATAGCCAAGATGTGGAAGTAAGCTAAACGTCCAATGAAGGATGACTGGATAAAGAAAATGTGGAACATATATACAGTGGAATATTATTCAACCCTGGAAAGAAAGGAAACCCTGCCATTTGCTACATAGATGGATCAGAGGACATTATGCTAGTTTAAATAACAGACACAGTAAGACAAATACTGAATGATCACACTTATATGTGCAATCTAAAACAGTCAAACACATAGAAGCAAAGAACAGAATGGTGGTTACCAGGGGCAGTAGGGGATGTGAAATGGGGAGATTATGGTCAAAGAGTATAGTTTTAGTTATATGAATAAATAAGTACTAGAGATTACTACACAGCACAGTCTACATCTAACAATACTACACTGTATGCTTAAAATTTGCAAATAGGGTAGATCTTATGTTAAGTGTTCTCATAAGTGTTCATACTTACGTTAAATATGAAACACACATACACAGATTTAAAGGGGGCAGAAGGAAACTTTGCAAAGTAATGGAGATTTTTATGGCCTTGATGGTGATGCTTCTACAGGTGTACACTTATCCCCAAATGCACTGAGTTGTAAACTTTAAGTATGTACAGCTTTTTACATACCAATTATATACTTCAATAAAGGGGTTTAAAATTTTTCTTTTGATATTTAATTTGAAGGCATGATGTTTTTGATGAATCTGATTAAGTGGCTTACTTTATTCTTCTATTTATATATTAAAAAGTTGAAAGCATGTGGAATTAAATGTATCATTCTCAATTAAAAGAAAAAAAAGCCACAGAAAATGATAAACAAGAGCTGGTAAACTTTTTCTGTAAAGAGCCATAAATTAAATATTTTGGGCTTGTGGGTGACATTTAGTATCTGCACATATTTCACATATTTTTCTACTTTCCTTTTCTTTCTTTTTTTTTTTACCTACCCTTTAAAAACATTTACATGACTCCGCTTGCAGAGTAGGAGTTTGTCAACCTCTGAAGCAACCATGTTCTACTAGACTCTAAGCTCCTGAGTACAGGAACTACATGACATTTCTTCCAATAGCCACATCTTGAGTGCAGGGTGTGGCATACACTAGATGAAGTACAGATGCTTGTTAAATGAATACAGGAGTAAATTAATCATGTGGGAAAAAATGTGCTAAAATTCAACTTTAGCACAACAGCAATAAGAAAACATAACTTGTTTATTATAATAGGATGGTATCGCCTATGTAAGCAAGCTATTAGCTAACTCTAACAAACTGGCAGGACACGAACACATGCTAGAGTACTTAAAATTCAAAAGCTTATATAGCTCAATTTATAAATTTTAAAACATGAAAATCAAGCTAAGTAATATTGCCACATAGCTTGAAAACAATAAGCTACAAAATAGTATAGATTTTTATATTCTTCCAAAGTGTTCCTTTCTTATTCTGTCAACAAAAATTTCCATGGCTTTCAAATTTTTTGGTTTTTAATTCCTTTCTCATTTACTATTACATAAAGGAGCTAGAAACAGGGAAAATAAACTGAGCTTACAGTCTCAATAAACCTCAGATCTTTCCACAAAAATTTAAAATATCTATAAATAACCCATTAATGCATTTTATGATTCCATTAATTCTTTTTTCAGTTGTTTAACAAGAATATTTCATACTAATCTTCAGGCTAATTGTGATAATCACACACAACCAAAGGCCTTAGGCAGTATAATTCGTATTTCCAATAGGACTTATTCATACTTACAGTTCTTTCTCAAGCTGCTGCTGAATTAACTTTGCTGATTTTGCCATTGTGATGTCTGTAAAGAAATAAAGACATTGCTGTAGTTTAAATCAGACAGGGTCTTTTCCCAAGACTTCTTGCACATATGGAAAATTCCTATTTATTAAACCAGTTAAGTTTCACCCCCTCTTTTTCAAAAGAGCTTTATATCACTAGTGGCTTCATTATCAAAGTAAGTTTTATATTTGCATGTATGGGTTTTCCTACGATAATGCTTATAAATATATTGGGTCGTCGGGAAAGTCATGATGCATTTTTGCATTGAAAAATATAGAAAAATACGTCATGACTTTCCCGACGACCCAATATTAATCTGATGACTCTAAAATTTACTGGCTCTTTCATGAAAGTTTTCCACACCTTACAGACCTTTTAAGTTAACATATATGTAAGTCCAGCCAGTGTAACAAAAAGAAAACCTACCAGCTTTGTGACTGTAACAAGAGCCTTCACTCCAACTGAAATATCCTACCTGTCATATAAAAGTAACCTAAGTACAATTCCAGCTGATACTAAGATTACCATCAAGTGCACATTGGTAAGAAACAAGTGATGGGTTGACACGCAGCAGAAGCCAAATAAATATTAACCCCTCTTCTTACAGTGACTAGAAGAAATAAAAAGAAGGTCAGGCCATGATTCTAAGACCAATTCCTGATTAGGCATTGTTAGAGTTATTACCCGATCACTTCTGAGAAATGTGTTGGGCTTTTCACAGAATCAAATTTTATATCTGAAAAAGGCCTGTAAAGATCAACTAGTCTAGGGGCAGCCAATTAGCTCAGTTGGTTAGAGCGCAGTGCTCATGTAACATCAAGGTTGCTGGTTCAATCCCCACATGGGCCACTGAGCTGCACCCTCCACAACTAGATTGAAACAACTACTCGACTTGGAGCTGTTGGGTCCTGGAAAAACACACTGTTCCCCAAATTAAAAAAAAAAAAAAAGATCAACTAGTCTATCTTATTTTAGAGGTAATGAAACTGAAGCCTAGTTTCACTGGGTGTGATTAAAAGTTTTTAATGGTTATGAGGTTAAAGAAAAACAACTTGTGCAAGCAACCTCCCCTTAATGAAATGTGGTGGATGGTAAACTTGTATGTGAGACTATCTTTTCCTGCACATTTGTTTATCTGATAAACTTAACTAGGTGAAGCAACATGATTATAATTAAAAAAAACCCAAAACACTGTATCAAAGAAAACTTCATAATAGTCGCTCCTTTGTCATTCCTTACAACAGCCTGGTACGAAGACTAATGAATGCAGGTGTATATATTGTAAGATTTAAAAATCCTTTAATATATAATTCATAGCAGTTGTCTCTCACCCTGAATAATAACAATTGTAGATAACTGTATTAATTTTTATTTGCAATCCGAGAAAAATCTGTTATTAGAGACAAAAAACATGGTGCTACCTTGCTTATTGCAGGCGATTAAGAATGCTGGTGTGTTCTTCAGACCCATACTGTCAATCAGGACTTGATACAGAAACTCGGCCACATCTTTCACCTCTCGCTGGAAGGCTGCACTATCCACAACAAACACGACAGCCCTGGAGGGGAAAAGAGAAAAACAGGCATGTGAGCAGGCCGCAGTGCAGCATTATTTTGAAAAACTATATCCTTAATTTGGGGGTTTGAATTGACCTGGAAAAAGAAAAATATCCAGCTTTAGCCCACTCCAGCCATTCTATCTCACCTTACGTGGGTAGGTGGGAATCCGTCGAGAAGCATATGTGAAATTCATAGTTCGGAGATACAGGTTCACTAAAAGACTGAGGCCGAATCATAGGATGCTTCCCTTCCCTTCACATTTCACCACCACATTACAAAAGGCCTACTTATAGCAGCTCCTTTTATGCAGTATATCATGTCTGGCTATCAAGAAAAAATTACAGGACATACTAAAGAGCAAAAAACAGAGTGAAGAAAAGGGGCAAGCAACAGAACCAGACATAGATAAGGAAGAGATGTAGGAATTCTCAGACCAGGAATTTAAAACAACTATGATTACAATGCTAAGGGCTCTAATGGATAGAGCAGACAGCATGCAAGAACAGATGTGCAGTGTAAGGAGGGAGATGGAAATTCTAAGAAAGAACCAAAAAGAAATGCTACAGATCAAAAACACTGCAACAGAAATGAAGAATGTCTTTGATGGGATTACTAGTAGACTGGACATGTCTGAGGAAAGAATCTTTGTGCTTGAGGATATCTCAATAGAACTAAAAAGCAAAAAGAACAAAGACTGAAGAAAACCAGAACAGAACATCTAAGAACTGTGGGACAAATACAAAAGATGTAACATATATGTAATGGGAATTTTAGGAGAAGAAAGGAACAGAAGTATTTGAAACAATAATGACTGGGAATTTCCCCCAAATTAATGTCAGGTACCAAATCACAGATCCACACAGAAACTACAGGAAGCTCAGAGAACATCGAACAGGATTAATGCTGAAAGAATTACACCTAGACATATTTTCAAACTATAGAAAATCAAAGATAAAGAAAAAAAATCTCAAGAAAAGCCAGGGGAAAAAAAACCCCCAAAACTTGTATTTATAGAGGAGCAAAATAAGAATTACATCCAACTTCTCCTAGAAACCATGCAAGCAAGAATAGTGAAGTAAAATATTTAAAGTGTTAAGAGAAAAATTCCCATAACAGAATTCTATACCCTGTGAAATTGAAAGCATTGAATGCATGTATCAGAAAAGAAGACAGACCTAAAAATCAACAATCTAAGCTTCTACCTTGGAAAGCTAGAAAAATTAAGACTAAATTAAATCTAAAGTAAGAAGGAGGAAAGAAATAATAAAAAGAGCAGAAATCAATGAAATTGAAAACTGGAAATCAGTGAGAACATCAATAAAACCAAAAGCTGGTTCTTTGAAAAGATCAATAAAATTGATAAAACTTCTAGCCAGGCTAACTACGGAAAAAAAGAGAGAGGACATAAATTATTAATATCAGGAATAAAAAGGGATATCACTACAGATCCCATGGACATTAAAAGGATAATCAATAAATACCATGAATCTATGCCGACAAATGTGATAGCCTAGGTGAAATGGTCTAATTCCTTGAAAGACACCATCTGCCAAAACTCACACAAGAAATAGACAATCTGAATAGGCCTAAATCTATTAAAGAAATTGAATCAATAATTAAAAACCTTCCCAAACAGAAGCACCAGGCACACATGAGTTCACTGGTAAATTCTATCAAACATATAAGGAATTTCACACATTGTTAGATGTCAAATATATTAAACTAAAAAAATTTTTTAAATAAAATATTCCAATTCCCTACAATCTCTTTCAGAAAATAGAAACAGAGGGAATATTTTCTAACTCATTCTATGAGGTCAGCATTTCTCTAATACCAAAACCAAAGACATTGCAAGAAAACTATAGACAAATACCTCTCCTGAACACAGAAGTAAAAATACTCAATAAAATATTAACAAATCAAACCCAACAATGTATGAAAAGAATTATATACCACAACTAATGGGTTCTGGACCCAATTCCAATGTGGGGGATGGGGATTTCCACCACCACCAAGCAATGTTCCTGACACCAGCTAGGTATCCTACAATTCAACTCTGTTCTGACACTATCTACCTGAAGATAGCATAAGATTCCCCAGGTTCAGGGTTCAGTCCCACAAGATTGCCCTCCACTTCTGATGTGAACCACAACAAGCCCAGGTTATCACCTGTGCTTCTGACTGACTGGCTATAGATTGGAGGTTCCCACAACTCCCTCCTTGGGGTCCATTAATCTGCTAGAGCAGACCTCAGATGCCAGTCCCAAGTCCAGGCTGTTACCTGGACTTTCGACTGGCTATAAATCAGAGGTTCCCATGACCTGCTCCTTGGATTCACTTAATTTGTTAGAGCGGCTTACAGAACTCAGTAAACTCATTTACTCACTAAAGTACTGATGTATTACAAAGGATATTAAAGGATACAAATCAACAGCCAGATGAAGAGATACATAGGATGAGTCCTCAACAAAGGAGCTTCTGTTCCCAGGAGTTTGGGCCCTACATGGTGGCATGTGGAAGGGTTCTACTTCCCCAACATGGGAGCTCTCTAAACCCTACCTTTCTGGGTGTCTATGGAGGCATAATTACGTAGGCATGACTGATTAAATCATTGGCCAAGGCGACTGATTCGACCTCTAGCCCCTCTCCTCTCAGGATGGGGCTGAAAAGTTACAACCCTCTAATCACAAGGTTGGATCTCCTGGCAACAAGAAGCCATCCTTAGGTGCTTTCCAAAAGTCACTTCATTAACATAATAAAAGACACCTTTATTGCTCTCATACTTAGGAAATTCCAAGGATTTTAGGAGCTCTGGGCCAGAAACAGGAAGATCAAATATACATTTCTTATTGTAAATCACAGTGTCACACTAACCAAGTGGGAGTTATCCGATATGCAATGCTGGTTCAACATTCAAAAATCAATTAATGTGGGC